ATGTAACCAAAATGACAGCAACAGGCCTCTTGAACATGGAAACAGGTTTACATGAAAGTGCTGCATGAATAATCAAACCCCCCCCCCCCCCCCCCGCCGTTTGGGATTACCCCTGTGCATTCCCGCTCCGTCCCACACTCTGGGGACACGGATGACTCCGAATTGCAAGTAGATAAGGTGTGCAAGTAGGGGGGGCAGCGGATTGTTACTAGGAAGTCATTTAGGCAAGTGGGGAAAAGTGTTCTAATCTGTGCATTACGACAGACTAAAAAACAAACATGAATAAAGGAAGCTGTCTGCTTCACCTTTTGGAGGTATTACAGTACATCAGCATGGCAGTTCCCGTGAAGCCATCACTGCACACTCGCACATGCGTGTGAACACACGCATGCCTATTTCCCGGGCTCTCCCTCCGTGACCTGCAACTCGCCACTGCGAAACACCCCGGAAACCCCATTAACCTCACCTTCATCCCAGGTGCGCCGCACGCGACCCGTCCGTTCTGACTCCCACAGGTCCCCGGCCGGCAGCACGCTCCAGCTGAAGTCCGGTCCGTCTCCCGGGGGCCATCCGCAAGCCTGCCTGCCGTTGCCATGGCAGCGGGACTCTGGCGGGGGAGACAAGTCAGCAGGCTCTGAGCGGCGAGGCGGGTCGGCGTTTGCGAAATCGCATCGTTTTGCTCTCTGCTGACCGGGATGAGAGGCGGCTGCGAGCCAAACCCACCTTAACAAACGATGCTAAGGGATTAAATTGGTTTGTTGACAGGTAAAAATGTCAGGAAGAGCCTGCAGGAAACACATGTCCTGATGGGCCCCCAGCCTGTGGGACCACTGGCCATAACACAAGCCACTGATCTGAATAACCTTTAAATGGCTATAAAGACGTCTCGGGCCTGGCAGCTGAAACCCCCACCCCCCCGCCCTAATTCGTTTTTTATGACTCTTATCATCGCTGTTGGTTCCGGATGACGGGCCAAACAGCCCCAGTAAAATCTGGCGGCCTAATCACATGGGAATTTCTCTGTGGTCGCGACTGGCGCTAAAGAATGTGGTCATGCGGTCAGCCTAGACGCTCAAGCAGACTGGACCAGATGGTCATCCCGGTCCAAGGCTCGGCTGTCAAAATGCATGGCCCCACCCTGCTCCCCAAAGATGGTGGCCCTGTTCGCTGAAAAAGTACCGATTGAGTCAAAGAGTCAAATGCACCGCTTAGTGAGAGCATCGATCACTCGGAAGCTCCAATGTTAAGGAGGTTAGCCAGGTCTCATTCAAGGTTATTGTGAGAAGGAGCCACTCTGTGGCAGTCGGTCAATAATTGTGCAGCCCTCCAGAGACACATAAGCGCGCGTGGCCTTCCTGTAACGTGGAGGAGCGCGTGGCCTTCCTGTGACGCGGAGGAGCGCGTGGACTTCCTGTAACGTGGAGGAGCGCGTGGCCTTCCTGTGACGCGGAGGAGCGCGTGGACTTCCTGTGACGTGGAGGAGCGCGTGGCCTTCCTGTGACGCGGAGGAGCGCGTGGACTTCCTGTGACGTGGAGGAGCGCGTGGCCTTCCTGTGACGTGGAGGAGCGCGTGGCCTTCTTTTGACGCGTAAGCACGCGCAGCCTTCCTGTGACATGTAAGCATATGTCGATATGTATAGGTGAATGTGTGTGCGCACATGGGACATTGTGGCCCCATTTCACCCAAGCCTGTACCTCCCGCCCCCCCTACATGTATGCCTCTGCACAGTTCGGAACCCCCAAAAGCGAGCGGCAAGGAGGGATCTCCCACAGCCCGGAACGGCGTCCCGCCTCTTCCACAAACATCATGAAGAATTGATGACTTGCAAAATGGCTCAGGATGGAGATTTTATTACCCATTTGTCCTCATTTGGGCCGCTCAATTATTCGACATCTTAATGCCCCTGAATACGTAATCATGTTCTCTGTAACATTACTCAACCTGATTGTTTCCTTACAACATTAAAGATGACGGCAAATTTAGAATTCCATGAATTCCTACACAAAACCTGCTGCAATAAACACGATCCCCTTGAGAGTGAGCTTTTGGGGAAATCTTACACGCTCTTTATTACATCAGCCCTGTTGCAGAAAGTTAAACTAAAACTGACATTTATGAGGAGGTGGCTGCAGTGATTCTACAACTGTCATATTCACGCCAGACACATTAAGTGACATAGTGAAGGAAAACATCCATCCATCCATCCATCCATCCATCCATCCATCTCCTAACAAGGTCATGGGGAAGCAGCATAGGACACTGGGCTGAGGAACACCATGAGGGGGTGGGGAGGGGATGCCTGACCAGATAGCAGCCAATTAAAATGTTTTCTGCATACAACAAGTAAAAAAACATAATTTCAGGGGCCACTGAACCTAGCAGGCTGACGGCGTTTCACAGGGTGAATGTCCTGCTGTGAAGCATTCGAGGTAGAAACTGGGAAGGCAAAAACGTGCCAGTAAAACCCACGCGTAGTGGTGGAAACTTCACCCCCCCCCCCAAAAAATAAAAAATAAAAGAAAGTTAAAGTACAAAACGACTTTGGCTTATTGAGTGTTACGAAGCTCTCCATTCTCTTGTTATCCCCTCCAATAATCTCTCCACGCCGATCCGGCTATAATTAAACAATATCCATGAATACTAATGAAACACGAGGTGCGTGGAGAGGAGCGGCCAGGACATAATAGGTTGTGCAATAAAACGTCGGGGAGCTTGTAAGAATAAATAAATAAAAATGCATTTTTAAACAAACAGGCCACAGATTGCATTTATGGGCTAGCGGCGTGTAAATCCAAAATAGGCAATTACTCCAGCATCGTCAAGCTCCGTACCAGTGAGGTCACTGTGATAAATCCGTCAAGGGAAGAGGGACCGCCACGTGTGACAGTCGCCTAGGTAACAGGCGAAAGCTACCGGACCCAGCGGACCGCTGAAGCCCCAGCCTGATATTTTCTTTACTGGTAATATGATTATTCTGCTGACTGTAGGATTCAAACCCATAACCTTCTGGACATGGGCAGCCGTGATGTTTACCAGCACTCAAACCAATCATTTTGCTGTTTTGCTGTTTAGCCTCCAGTCCCTACCCTGGGGGGTGGGGGGCACGAAATCCCCACAAACAAAACATGTGAGGTCTCCAGGTAAGTTCCTGGTACCATTGGCATTACCTCCATTGGCAACCGCACCCTCCACCACACTGGTGCACAGATGGCTGACGTCACACGTAGTCGCGCACCTACAAGGTGGCAGCTGAGCCAATCAGCAGGATGAGCAGATACAGAACAGCACCATGGGGTGTTGATCCTGGTCAGGGTCGTGTGACACACAGGGGTCGGCATGGGGGTAATAAGCTCACTGCGCCACAGTGTAAATAACGACCAAATATGATACGGCTCATCTCTGCCAGTAGGGGGCAGCAAAGCAGGCTGTCCCTGGTTCACCCCACACAGGGTCCGAGGCCCTGGGATTTGGGGACCTGATCAGTGTGAAAAGGTCTGGATGTTAACTGCAACAAACATCATTGTGTCATAGAGCCCAGCACTTTTTTTTTTGCCGGGGTTGGGGTGAGGGGAGGGGGTGCATATTCTTTTATTTGTCATTATAAGTGGTGCGGCTGGTGCCGCCGCCGTTTGCGAATGTATCTATTCAGCAGGCGCAGGCGGACACCCGCGGGCGAGACGCCCTTGACAGCCAGTCCCTTTGAAGCCAGTTCCCCAAACAAGGCAGTGTGCCCACGACCTCCCCCCCCCACCCCAGCCCCTCTCTTTCTTGTGACAGCACCGGCACCCGGGACTGTAAACAAAGACTCGTCCATTGCATCTCTCACAATGAAATGGGCGCACTGGCAATCTGGTCTGAGGTGAGGGGGGGCCACAGATGGGACAAATCCATGGGTGGGAACAAGGGTGGGTTAGTTGTTTATCGGGTCCCACTCAAAAAGTCCATTCGAGACCCCCTCGCCCCCCTAGTGCAGTGACTGTCCCAAGCCTCAGGGTCCCACGCAAATGCATGGGAGACACACGGTCGAGCCGGAAAGCCTAAGGCCCCCCACCCCGCTTCCCGCCAGCCTCCCCGTGTCCTTGCCCCGTCAAATCAGGGCATGTCTGTGAGCTTACGCTGGGGATAAAACAGGCGCGGTAACCTGAAAGGCAGCCAGAATGTTTTATTCATGCCGTGGATGAGACACATCGCACCATCAGAGTTGCTCAGGAGCGGGGGCTCCTCTCTGCGGCTCAAACTTTTCATTTATGGAAAAAAATCCCACGGTGAGTTTGATTTACAGGGTGTCCATGCTAGCCAAACAGCAGAAATCGCTAATTACAGCATTTTCATCAGCTATTTTAATAAAATCTACCCTACGGGCTTTACTGTGACATTAAACACTAAGCTACGCTCTTAACATGATCCTGCGGGAAAACGTGACTCGCGTCTGCAGATTACTCCCGAGGAACCTTAGCTTTGTGCTTGTTCTGACTTCATAAGGCACGCTGATCATCTACCGTGATCTTTGCTAGCTTCGCTCAGATCCTTTCAGCCTGTTCTCACGTTGGCCTCGTTCACTGTGAAATTTGACGCAGGTGAACTTTACATTTGCCATTTATCGGCGCTGTCGCTCTGAGAGTGCGGAGTCGGATAACGTTGCCGTATCTGTTCGGGCCGTCTTCCCGTGCGGTGTCGCACACTTAATCGCTGATTGTAAGCTTCATTAAAACCCGACTGCCGTGAACTTTGTGCCTGTTAATGCCAGGAGGCCACTCTGCACACAAAATGTCAAGATTAAAAAACACAGAGCGGCTTAAAATTGAAAGAACTCATCCTCCTGCAGATCCACGTGAATTAGCTGCGAGGCTAGCCGGTGCATTAGCGCATTAGCTCGTTAGCGCTGCCGCACGGGCAGCCATGTGCATCCAATTGAGCTGAATGACACAGGATTGTTCAGCAAAAAGCCTGCCTCCATATGGCCTTACTCCTTCTGATTTCTGCTTGCAGTTTCATCTGGGTTTTCATAATAGTATCTAAGGAAATTGTTGGTATTATTCCCATAGAAACTCATGGAATGTACACAGTAAATTTGGAGACCACCAACCCAGACCAGGCCAAAATCCATCCCAGCTCACAGAGATATTTGCACTTCAATGACGACTGCGCTGCTATCGCAAGCAAAAAAAAATCTGGAAAAGAAATTCAAATGAATTACATCTGAATAATAATCTGGTGGCATGTTGACTCTGTTGGAACAGCACTGATCCCTCAGGTCGAGTGTGTGAATCCCACCTGTGGAGCTTGTTCTCCTCCTGTCCTCCTGTGGTCCAAAGATGTGCAGTTCGGCATAGTGGCAGCTGTAACCTGCCCTTTGTGTGTATGCATGTGTGTAACCAGCAATGGACTGGCACCCCAGCCCCATGCCTCGTGATGGACTGGCATCCCATCCAGGCTGTACCCCAGCCCCATGCCCCGTGATGGACTGGCATCCCATCCAGGCTGTACCCCAGCCNCGTGATGGACTGGCATCCCATCCAGGCTGTACCCCAGCCCCATGCCCCGTGATGGACTGGCATCCCATCCAGGCTGTACCCCAGCCTGGTTCCATATGCTGCCTAACTCCAGACCCCGGACGAAGAGGTTATTTTAAAGATATCATACGCTGTCTTCATTTACTGTTCTTTTGTTAATATAAATATTGAATATTTATTAAAACTCAGTGCGAAAAGTCTGTGGTTTCTCTGCTTGTTAACAGGTCTTCCGGGAGACATTCAGGCCCTTAGGATGTGCTTAACTGACAGGGAGGATCTCACCGGCTTCTGCCGTCTCCTCTGGGAAGCTGAGCTCATCCTCTGCTGTCCAGGTGAAGTTCCAGTAGCCTCGGGGGACGCCGGTGCCGTGGGCGGCCTGCGGCGTACCTGCGAAGAGACACAGATAGTCAGACGACGGAAAACGCTTCACTGGCACAACAGGCAAACAGGACACTCACTGCGCTAAGAAAATAAGGTTGCAGTGGAGGCAGAGATGATGGATTTGCTGCGGTGCTGGGGGAGAGGTGTGCGGAGGCACCCCGCGTATCCCAGCCAAATCAACAGCCACTGAACGGCATCGACAGCCAATCAACACCCGTGTGGGACGCCGACAGAGGCTCCGTCTCCCTTACCTCCACACTCGACCACCAGCTAAAATGGCCGACGGATCCCATAGCTCAGCTGCACTGCAGTATGCTGCCTGTCTAAAAAGTTTCTGAATACTTGGACTTACTTATGTTTTACTACAGTTCGCGCACTATGCCACGTACAGTAAACAAAAAAAAGAGTGGAAGAATGGAAATTAAATAAAATATTTGTCAAACACCAGCCATGGCATATTTTTCTCCAGTACTGCTTGAGATATTAACCATTGGCTGTAGCTGGCTGCGTATTCTTGACCTTTCTAGACATTTCATCCCAGATCAGGTCGATGGCATTAAGGTCAGGTGACTCTCTCTCTTACTCATTCTCCGGAATCTTCTGACAGGGCATTTAAACTGTGCATAACCAAATATGGTCAAATATAAGGTCTTCAAAGGTGCTTTTCTGGTACCACTGTACAGCAAGGCTACCCGTATAAAGGGTTTGGGAACAGTATATAGTCAACTTATTAATTAGGTTGTTACATTTTGTAAATCATTCATAGACAATTACAAACAAGTTATAGCACCGTTTTCTTTTTATTGATGAGTTACTACCAAAAGTCAAAGAGGAGTCTTATTGTAAAGTGCTACCTTTTCTTTTCTCACTGAGTAAACCTCCACTCCCCCCCCCCTTTTATTGGAGATTCAAACAGTTTACGCCCCCCCCCCAAACCACATGACCTGGACTTCATTATAAATTACCGGCATAGCAGAGTTAGTGGTGAAGCCCCATATCAGTTTGTCCAGCTAGGTTCTGCGACTCGCATGGTATGGTAGGACGTCAGCGCTGCAAGCGCGTGGATGTTGAGCGGGAGTCGACCCCACAACCCAGCGAGCGGCCATTCCGCTGTGAGTCTAGGCAGGATTCACACCGGAGTGGCTTTACATCAAGCGAGCCTCTAACAGTCACTAACGGCTAATAGACAGCTGAAAATAAATAGACGTCAGCAGGACCGGGGGATGTTATTCTGTCCCTCTCTCATGCACTCTGACGTCGGTACCATTAAAAGAGATCGAAAACCTCAATTGGACAGCGCCCCCAGAAACACAGCTAGCATGCGCTAGCCGTAGCAGCCGTGTGGCACAGAGAGGAACAGGCCTCGCGATGTTTCCCCATTTCCTCCATTCTCCGTCTCGTCACCTGTTGTTCCTCTGCGAAGCCTGGCCGCAGCTTATCACAGCATTACGATGCACCTTCCATTCCCGCCTCTCTCCATGAGAGTTCGGCCTCGGGTCTGCCACGGGAATTTAAAGCATTATTTATGAGCCAACACTTGGAGCACCAGCCTGCCTCCCCAACCCGCCGAGGCTCTAAGTTCAAGCCAGGCAGAGTTGGAACCAAGATGTCCGACTTTGCTCACTTCACAGCCTACAGACCCCCACCAGGAGAGCCCCCCCGCCAGTCCACAGCCTGGAGCATATCTTGGCTTTGTTCATGGTAGAGTGATACCACCCGCCTTGCAAAGGTGTTAAGAGGCAAGAAAAAGAGACGTTTAAGTACCGACATACCCCCCCTCCGCGTGTTTATTGGGCTGTATTTCCTGGCAGTGAAACAATCCTGAAATAAATTCAATTACCTGTAGAAGAGCGGCACGGGATCAAAGCAATAAATGGTCACAGACCCCTACAGGGACTATAACCCCCCCGCCAACACACACACACACACACACAAAATTATAGACAACTACTGAAGATGGCAAGAACTGCAAACAGAAATAGGCTCCAAGCAGGAGAAGAACATGCTGGAACTATCTGGCAGGGTGTGTTACCCTGGAAGACATCAAGGGACGTAGCAGACCTTATCATCAACACCGATCAGGGCCCGGAGACAGGGGTTAGCCCCCAGTCGTAAGCTTGGCCCACACCCCCCACCCTCTTAGGTAATCCCGTGCCCCCCCACACCCCGGGGCCTGTGTACCTCTCCTCCAAACTCTCTGAAATTGCAAGGAAAACGCAGAGGGAGAAGCAAACCTCTGTGGGCTGGGGCACCCTAATTCAGCTCCATCGCCTGCCCCTCACCATCAGCCCCCGCATCCATCATGTATCCATTACAGATCTTACTATACCTTCATCTGGATTGATCGTCCTTCACATGATGATGGAGATGAGTGGTGCCAAAGTGAAGCAGCAATCAGATCCGAACGAAGGAGCTCCATTGATTTCTACCAGAGTATTAAGCAGAAACTGGCCATCATTAAGCATGTTTGATCATCCCCCCCCCACCCCCTCCTGCTCGATGGATATTACAGGCCGGTGTGGGGTCGTGAAAGCTCGTCCACGATTCGTCCATCCTGCAGGAGGTCAGGTGGGTTCGGGGGGGGGACTGTCCCCAGTGAAATAAGCGAGACAATTGACATAACCTCAATGGAAGTGTCGCCTTCTCAAGCTACGATGGAAATAGGCAGGAAACAGGTGTGCAGCGAGCTGGAAGGTACCTGCCCTCTCCTGATTGGCTCTCCCGTAATGCTTACTAACCTCGTGGTAACGGCTTCGCGATATCGAGGACACAGAGAGCACCCCAGTCATGCTGCCTCATGGGGGTGTAATGACCCCCGCGGGAGTCTGGTGCAGATGAGGCGAACCAGGAGGAGGGCCACTAGAACACGGCAAGGACGCGTCTCACCTGCACACCGCTCCTGACGCACGTTCAGTAATGGGTGTTTGTGCAAACACTTTGCATGCTCAGCAGGATGATGTCATCGTGTCCCCCGCTTATGAGCAATGGTGATTTTTCACGTCCGCCCCACACCGCACACGCAAATATTGAGCCAAAATAACTCACACAAATAAACAAAACATCTATGCTTAATTATCAACAGGCACAAAGTCCAACATCCGTCAATATCGAATACTTAAGGGCAGAAACATTTGGTTGCATAATCACCATTTCAAATATGGATTCTTAACTGATACATTTACATTAAATTTCTTAACTTGCCCGAGCTCCTTTGAGGCCATTCAGCTACTGGCATTTGAAGGAATCTGTAGGAAATGAATGGCTGCTGCCCGTTTCCTCCCCCATCGTGTCGTGAGCGATACAGACAAACAAAAACACAACCAGACGAAGTTGATGCGCCGCAGTGTGTCTGAGTCTCTGAGCTCTCTGCTCACCGCTCCACCGACCCCTAACCAACAAACGGAATGCAGAGAAACGGGAGAGGGCGCGACCCTGAGAATGTGCACACTTGTCCGCGTGATGCCGTCAGTCAGGAAGCCGGCATCTCCCCGGCTGGGCTCCCTAACAAAGCTCAACACCATTGTGCCAGCAAATTAATCTCGCTCAGACTTCAGATTCCGGAGGGACAAAAGAGAATATGTTCATACAAAGATACATTAATTAAAGCCGCCTCGGCCCCGTTTGATCTCCATTCCCGTCGATTTCCCAGCACCACCCTCTCTCTGGCACTTTAAAGGAGGTATGTTTCTATGCCAAGGACCACTGCTGTGCCCTGCTGCATGGATGATGATGGGCCCAGACTACATGTCCAAATGACCTGAGCATTACCAGACACCCACCACCAGAGGGCACACAGCCCTGTATACCTGTATATGGACGGTATGACAGTACAGCCCACTGCATTATTTTTATTATTATTATTATTATTATTATTATTATTATTATTATTGTCACTCGCTGTCTGTATGTCACACCCCGTCCAGGGGGACATTATTTCATGCTGCTGTATACCTGGATATGGATGGCATGACAGTAAATTACCATTATTAATTACCCACTGCCTGTATGTATTTCATGCTGGTCTATACCTGTATATTGCAAAACTGGCTTGACTTGGCTTCATTTACTCTTGGAGGACTTGGCATCCTGCTCTTGGAGAACACTGTAGAGTTGCACTAACAAAATGGTCAGTGATTAGCCAATCAGAAGAGTTGTCACACAGTGTTACACACAGCTACACACAGCGCTTTGCATTTATATGGGGGAGGGGGGGGAATCAGTCCCAGAAGGTCTGGATTTTCAAGAACACAATTAGTGACCTAGTCGGGTTCCTCGCTCTCTCAAGGACTCTTATTTTGAATGTAAAATATCTGGAAATGACAACGTGTTTATATTCCCTTCATCTGCAAAGGTTGTTAAGGCAGTCCTTAAGAAAAGGTTAAGAAATTAAAAAGTCAAATCACATCATTAGCCGGCTGTATTTTCAGCTGGCTTGGCAGAGTCAGGCTCAAACTGACAAACGCAGCACATCGCCATTCCTGAAAACGCCTTCCATGCTAACAAAAAGCACTTCACCCTAAATAGGCTACGGAAGTCGAAATTATTCACTGCTGCTGTTCATTTACTACTTTTCGAACCTGAAGTGGCTTATTTAAGTTCCACGTAGTTGGCAAGCATGTAAAGAAAAGAGGCCTTTTTGATCACAAAGCCATGGACAAAAGCTGCATGTACACTCCCCAGGTCCTGCAGAAAGGCATTTTCCCTAAAGCCCCAGCCATTTCAGGGCTGTTTGTCTGCCATAATAAATCTTACATAAGAATGCAATCCAGAGTCCAGGCTTTTCACACTGATATTCGGACAGAAGTTCAGCTGTGAAATGTTTGTGTTTGACCTGCGTTTAGGAAGTGAGTGAAAATGCAAGGGAAACACACAAACACAGACACAGACACACACACAGACATATACACACACACACACACACACACCACAGTCCAACATTTTTTCACACTAAAAATGCTTCACACAATTTGATTTATAAAAGGTGAGGGAACCAGAAGAGGAGAAAC